CAAGTACAAAACTGATTTACAAGTACAAAATATTTATGACCACAATTTGAGCCCATACTTCAGAGCATGACTTCAGAAACCAGTGAGTGATGTCATGTAGTTGTGCATCTTTTAAAAGAAGTGGAAAATTCAGATTCATCAGGGACAATGCAGGGATTCAACATCTTGCCCAAGGATGCTTCGACATGGTGATTGGAGTATTTAGGAAAACGATCCACCAATCTTCTGATTGGTAGAGCTCCTCAATCTCCTAACCCACAGTTTTCCCAAAGAAAGCTCATATTAGTTGTCCCACGATGAGCTTTATTGTACGACAGTGGACAGTTAGAAATGATCACAGGGTTATAGTTAAAAACAAATCAATCATGATAATCACCTTTTAGGTAGTTCAACTCGCCAAGACACATTAACTGGGGGGATGTTTTATTTCACAATTTTAACACAGAGTAAAAATTTTGCATCTGTAAAATTGACATAAAGGGAAAATCATTGTGGAGATTAACTTTCGATATACTTTTTGAAGATGGGCTAATTTAAAGGTTGCGTGTGCAACCTAAACACACAAATTGTGAAGTCGCTTTGACACTTGTCCAGCTTTCACTGTGATTTGAAGATTTTCCAGTGTGAGGAAAATTCAACTTTGTAAAAAAATTTTGTTTTTTGAGAAACAAAACACTGAATAGAACTTTGCTTCCAAGAAAATCTTTAATGTTTTTACATCAGGTAAATTAATGTCTAATAATTGTCCGGAATTCAACTTTCTTTTAATCTAAAAAATTGAGTACACGTGCGAAACAATGCGTCCTGTGCACATAAATGACATCTGTGACATTTTGGTGAGCAGAAACAGGTCAAATATTTTGAGCTAAAAAAAAAAAAAATCCACAAATGTAATGAAACTGACATTTACACGAAGTTCAAGAACAAATCTTATTAGACCTAGGTCTTTAACTTTGACTCAGACTCATTCAAATTGGATTTATTTATTCATAATAACACGCTAGAATTATTTAACTTGAGACAGTTTTGGTTTTGTGTCCATCATTAAAAACACCAAAGAGACCAAAAACTTCTGATTTTGTTACTCATACACAGACCAGAGCATACATGACTTTAAATAAAAACAGAGAAATCTGCAACTACTTCGTTTCATGTAATAATTCAATGTTTTTTTTAAGGAAAGCACAAAAAAGTTGATTGCTAATCCAAAAACAGAGAACTACTGTGAGTACAAGTTTCAGTCTGCAGCTACAGACACACAGCATGCTTTCAGCGAGCTGTCATGCCACAGAGTTTAGATGTCAAAGCGGCGGTTCCTGGTTTGCACAGTCTTCCTGTCGCTGAGGTACATGTTAACGTAGGAGCTTATAAGATCGTCCATCTTGTAGCCCTTTTAACAGAAGAGAGTTATATAAAGAAAAGGAAATGTAGACGAAATATAAACCAAAACTTACAGAGTGTTTCACGTCTTACCAGTGACGTTTCACACAGGAACTTGCTGCCGTTGACTAAATTACCAATAGTCATGTGAAAGTAGGTGCTTCCACTGGACCAGTTAGCAATGCGGTTGAATGGATGAGTTGCCAGAGTTTCCTTCAAAGAAAAAAAAAAACATGAATAAAAACATGAATAAAATGTTGATATGAGAGAAGGGCACTGAAATTTTTATTGCTCCATAGAGTTTTAGACTTTCTTTAACCTTGGTTTTTGGATGAATGATTGTTAGTCCTTGCTTGCTGATGGCAATTCGCACAATATCTGGAAATTTTTGCTCTGATGTTTGCTGAAAAGAAAGAAAGATAAGCAAATGAGGAAACTGTCAAGCTAGAGTCATGTTGCACTATTTGCAGAAACAGTGCTAAAGACCAGAGGCCCGACAAATAGTGACAGATATCAATAGCGATCAGATAAACACGCTGCCCACGCAGCCAATCTGATAGCTGATACCAAGATAACCATCGTGTGAGCTGCACTCGCTGGAGGCCTCACCTTCACATCAAAGAAAGCACAGCCAAATGTCGGCCAACGGTGAACCGCCTTCAGGAACGCCACCTTAGCTTCATCAGCTGTCATTCCAGTTTGTTTGTTAAATGAGGCGGTAATGTTCTGAAAATGAAAGTACAGATGTATCACAGAGTGAAACAACAACTTCAAGTGACCACTGCCTCTAATGAGGTTAATGGTTTTCTAGCATTAACACTGATGATTAAGAGGGAAGGAAAAATCCAAACCTACATGACCCTGTTTGTAAAAGCGAACCCTAAACCTAATAAGTGGTCGAGCCACCCTTAGCAGCAACAACTGCAACGAAGAGTTTGCGATAACTGGCAGTGAGTCTTTTGGTTCACTCATCTTTGCAGAATTGTTGTAATTCAGCCACATTGGAGGGTTTGCAAGCATGAACCACCTTTGTTTTTTCTTAAGAGACTCAGAGGTGGACTTGCTGGTGTGTTTTGGATCATTGTCCTGCTGCAGAACACAAGCGTGCTTCAGTTTGAGTCACGAACAGATGGATGGACATTCTTCTTCAGGATTTTTCGGTAGACGGCAGAATTCATGGATCTGTTTATCACGGCAAGTCTTCCAGGTCCCAGCCCCAGACCGTCACACTACCACGCTACACCACAGAGTATTTTCCCAAAACTCTCAGGGATCATCAAGATGTTTTCTGGCAAAACTCAGACGAGCCTTAGTGTTCCTTTTGCTCAGCAGTGGTTTTGGTCTAGGAACTCAGTCTCTTTCATATGGTGTAGTTATGAACTCTGACATTAACCAAGGCAAATGAGGCCTGCAGTTCTTTGGATGTTGCTCTGGGGTCTTTTGTGGCCTGTTGGATGAGTTGTCAATGCACTCTTGGAGGCTGGTCATTCCTGTTTCAGGTTTTCTCCATGTGCGGATAACGGCTGTCATCGTGGTTCACTGGAGCCCCAAAGCCTCGGCTTTGTAACCCTTTCCAGACTGATAGATGTCAGCGACTTTGTTTCTCAGCTGTTTCGTTGGATTGTGACAGAATTTATGGATCCACGTTGTGCTGCTTTTGGAGATCTTATGTCTTATGTTTGAGATATTATGTTGCTTTTTTTCCCCTGTGTGTCTTGCTTCCAAATTTTATTGTGCAAGCAACTGTACATTGACAATAAAAGTTGTAAGTTCTAAGATCTTTTAGCCTGCTTCAGTTTGTCGCACAGGATCTATTTAAGTGACTAGTTGATTCAGCAGGTGTGGCATTAATAAGACCTGGGTGTGTTCAGTGTAAGTGAACTCAGCTTTGTAAAAAAAATGGTTTGGACATATGCAAAAAAGGGATAGTGGATATACTGGACGAAGATAACATGTCTTTTGTCCTGTTTTCCTTCTCTCGCCGCAACCAGCCATAGCAGATGGCCCCGCCCCTCCCTGAGCCTGGGGTTTCTTCCAGTTGAAAGGGAGTTTTTCCTTCCCACTGTCACCAGAGTACTTGCTCACAGGGGGTCATATGATTGTTGGGTTTTTCTCTGTATGTATTATTGTAGGGCCTACCTTACAATATAAAGCGCCTTGAGGCTACTTTTGTTGCGATTTGGCGCTGTAAAAATAAAATTTCATTGAACTGAAGAGAACGTTTAAGATGACGCTGGCTGCAGGAGTTAAAAAGGAAGACAACAGAGATTTATTGTGGATGTAGTAAAAGAGGAAATGCAGACAGAGAAGGATGCCCTGTGATAGGGTGAGATAGAAGCAAGCCGTCCTACCTTCTTCCACTCATTTTCAGACATAGCCTTCAGCTGGTCAGTGGGCACCAGCTCCTTCAGCAACTTGGGAATCATGACTAACTGGTTCTTATCATTGTTGACCTTTATGCAGAAGAGCAGAGCCGCAATTTTGAGCATTTCCTCTTTGGTGCACACATGATAGCCTCTTAGGTATTTGGGTAACTCCTGGAAATTAGAAAGACATTTCGTTAACTTATTTTTTAACAGGTCTTGGCCAAAGTTTCACTTTTTAACCGAGTATTCAAAACGTTTTTCAGTTGCAGGCAACTGTTACTAGATTTTAATCGCCAACTCCATCTTTGTGTGAGGAGGAATTGTGTTAATGGAAACATCTCGCTTCATATCAGCTGGAAAATTGGAAAATGAGACATCATTCAAATGTACCTGAGGGAAATGGAAGATAAGATCTGCTTTTGTGTCTCTGCCAGGGATCACGTTAAACCACAACTTCCTCATGAAGAACACAGTATAGTTGACCAGCCCACCTGCGGAACACACACGAGCACAGAGGTTTGTACAGGTGTATAGCAGACCATTCAAAGTCCCGCCGTCATTCTAACCAGAAGATGATTTATTACCATCAATCCTTTTCACACTCTTGGACCAGTCAGTGATTTGCCTCAGACTGTCAAAGAAGTAGTCTGTCTCATTCAAACTGAGAAACTGAAACAGAATAAAAAAACACAACAACAGGCTGGTTTTTGTTCATCAAAGATGCCAGACCGTCTATTGTATAAATGTATAAAAATACTGAATGAACCTTGTCATTTGTTTTGACAAAAATGCTGAAGCCATCTGCTGAAGACAGTTCGAGCTTCCTGGAAATGTTCAGAATCAGATCCTTGATCCTGGTGTTGGTGGCCACTTCAAATATCTGGAGAAGGATGAGATTAATCTCAGATAACACCAAAATGCAATCTCCACCCAGCAATGGCCTTTTCTGGTTTCATTAAAAGAGTTGGTGTTTTTACCTCATCTGTGTCATTAGGGAAGTGGATTTTGTGGCGGATCTGGGTGCTGTTTTGTTGGATGGCATCTAACTCCACATGGTGAGGTGGGAGCTTCCTGGGCTCCATCCTAGAGCAGAACAACAATTATTAGGTACCTGCCTTTTTGTTCTTTTTCCTAACAGATAAGTCCAAAGGTTCAGTGTTTCTAAAGCAACTGACTTTTCTTCTTAGTACCACCTCAATTTAGGTTAAATGCTAAATATACCACCTGCCTAACAGTCTGTTGGCCCCCCTTTTGCTGCCAAAACAGCCCTGATGCATTGAGGCATGGACTCCACTAAACCCCTGAAGGCCTGCTGTGGTATCTGCACCAAGACATTAGCAATAGATCCTTCAAGTCCTGTAAGCTCTGACGTGTGGTCTCCATTGCCCATTGCTCTGTGGTTAAGTTCAGATGCTCATGTGCCCATTTTTGGTGCTTTCGGCGGTGGAGAGGAGTCACCATGGCTACCCTGACTGGTCTGTGGAAGCCCCATATGCAACAAACTGTGATGTACTGTGTATTCTTACATTTTTCTATCAGAACCAAATTGCCAACTTTTTTTTTTTGGCAAATTGAGCTACAGTGGCTACAAGCTGGGATAGGCCAAGTGGATGGATGGATGGATGAGCCAGCCTTCAGTCTCATACATCAGTGAGCCTTGGCCAGCCATGACCTTGTCGCTGGTTCACCACTGCTCCTTCCTTGGACTTGGACACTTTTACAGATACTGACCACTGCAGACTGGGAACACCCCCAAAATGTTCTGATCCTCATGCCTGCCATTTTTCCTGCTTCTACATCTACTTTGAGGACAAAATGTTTACTTCCTCCGTGATATATCCCACACAGTAACAGGTGCCACGATGAGGAGATAATCTGTGGTATTCGTTTATGCCTGATTGGTGTATATAATTAATGAGCCAAAAATGTAATGTTACTCCAGTACCAAAAAGCATGTGGTCTTGGACTTCTTGGAATATGAGTGTGAGTATATGAGAATATGAGTAATTTAGAGATATGAACATATATTTTAAGGAGGCCACAGACTCAAGTGTACCCCATAATTCCAGTCAGTTGATCTCTTTACCACCTCACATTAGCTGTTCAGCTAATGCATTCAGGACATGCTATTTAAACTGCTTTAATCTTTCTACAGTTACTTCTCCTTTTGCAATCCTTTTTGTAACCCACCTCCAGCGCAGCTCCTCCTTTTAATGCTTTTTCTGACCTTACCATTTATACCTATAGATGTTCACTTAGACCACACCTCACCTAATAAAGTTTGACACATGCTTGTTGGGAAGGTCACATAACAAAGGGACAAACACTTCATGGAGCTTGTTGATATTCATCAGCATTGCCTCGAAGTCACATTGACCACACTTAACAGACCTACGTCTAACATTCAAATGATGTAAACAAAGTACTGGCTGCAACACTTTGCATTTCTCCACATTTCTGATCTAGTATCTCTGCTTTGTTGCAATAGGTGGCTAAAGGGAGCCCAGTACGGGCATGATTATTCAAATTCACAACTCCATATTTTCATTTTTGGATTCTACTAGAGTAGCTTTACATGACTTTTATTTCCTTTACGCCACAGTTCTTCCGATTCACTGCCCCTTGTAAATAAGACTTGCAAAGCATGTGGGCAGGTCTTCCAAATGCCTGAGATTTCAGTAACATCGTAGAAAAAAAATTGTGTGAAACTGAGCATTTAACAGTCCCCTCGCTTCCTTGTACATACCACATTATGTGAAAAAGTTTAACATGAATGTCCACCACAGCAAAATGAGACATAAGACAGGAAATCGTGTAAATCATCATGGTTGTCTTTTAACTTCACTTTCTTCTTTTGTCCTAAGAAAAAGTAGAATTATTCCCCCCTTTGTTGTGACCAGTATGCTTGTGTTTTCTGATTACTAATAAAAGCTTTAATAACAAATGAGTCTCTGCAAGCCTGGTAGCATTATGGAGGAAAGCCTGGATGCAAATCAGATATATTTATAACTGAGGTCATGCAAATTCTGAATGTGGTCCTTTCACTGTGAAGATGATGCAACACATTTGTACGAAAAGGACTGTGTTCATCACCGCAAGCAGGTTCTGCACAACTTGATCTCAGTGAATCTATAAAAAGAAGTTAAATTATTTGACATTTCCTTTTCACACCTGAGGGAGGGTGATGCAACTTTCAGTCCTTTTTTACTCTTTAAACCAACTTTAAACGAGAAGCAGACTCTATCGACGCATTCTTCCTGTCGCACACTCAAAAGCGTCTCTGTGTTTATGTGTGATACATAATACAGGCCAGCGTGCGGTACAAACCTCAGAGAGCTCTGCATGCGCTGCAAACAGTCAGAGGCAAGTGGCTCTCTGCGTCGCGACTCCAGAAATCGTTGAGCATGTTTCAGAAGAGGCTGACTGGGAGGAAACAGGCCGCAGCTTAGCCACATCAGCTGCCAGCCATGCTCCATGCTTAACCTGGGTGAAGAATAGAAAAAATAATAAAGAAAATTTCTATCCCGGTCGCTCCTGCACTGAAACAAAGAAGGGCTATCTTCAAAACCTCCAATATTTTACCCTTTAAGTGTCTGAGAAGGCACATTTATATTATTATTATTAATATCTTGTGATATTTTGAACAGTTTGTCCTTCCATGAGCATCTTATGCAACATCATGGAAAGTTGTGTGGAAATGTGTACATGTATTTTTTAACATTATAGGCTTATATACTGTTTAAATTTTCCACTTCTCACTGTTTTGGAGTGATCCATGACTAACAGACCAAGAAGACTGAGAGAGAACTTAATAACCGGAGCGTGCAGAGCAGACAGGCAGGCTGTGGATAGAAACTACTCTCAGTTCATTCTTGCAACTGTGACTGTGTGATTATCTGTCAGGTGAGTTTCTGCATGCATCGCGTCTTACAAATTTTTGGATGCATGTACACAGGAAATAGCATGTTTACCGGTTGTTATTGTTGGTCATCTGCTTCATGATCTGGCAGTAAATCTCATCCCTCAGAGCATCGTGTTTAGTGGCGGGGCTGAAGATTTGGTCAGTGAGTTCGAGGGGATTCTGCTGCTGCTTGGTGGGGTAATCACCCATGTACTTCAGGATTGGTACACAGCAGTCAAGGATGGCTAACAATGGTGGATTTTGAACAGCTGAGGTTACAGAAATACCTATCTGTAACATCCCATTAGTCAGTATCTGTTTTCCCCCCTCTTATATTTCAAGACCTTGCAGCTGTCTCGTGGTTTCAGTTCTTCTTCTGCGTACTACTTATTACTACTCTGGTTTCCAACTTTCCTTGCTTACTAGGTTCTGGGCTTAAAATAAACAAAAGGAGTTAGAAGAAATATGAATATGTCCAGAGAAAGAAGCAGGTAAATTTTATGACTTCATTTTGTTTCATGTTGAGGTGTTTAGCTAATATATGTCCACTAAGGTTTACTGCAGGCTTTATGTGACTGAATGCAGGGCCAGATGCCACTGTGAAAATGGCAGCTGAATAGCAGAAGATGATTGCAATTGTTCTATTAGGTTAGCACCACCTAGTGTGTCTGCCTTTTAGTAGCATCGTCGTCATCAAGCGGCAACCTGTGAAACGGAAAAATGAAACCAAAGAGGAAGTGCCAAAAAAACTGCAGTTTCGTGAGGCTGGCGAGTCGCAGTCCCCACAGACCGCTGTGTTAAAATGTCCACTTTACAGCAGAAATAAACATGTTACAGCCTGCCGCTGTTTCAGACTCTGTGGATAGTTTCACCCTTCATAACAAATCTCTATAACTCCACCTGGACACTAGAGTTAGGAGTATGCCCACTTTGATTGACTGGTGTGCTGATGCTGATCGCTGTGTGCTAGGCCTCGCCTGTGACTGAGAAACCTTATGCTGTTAATGACTTGACATGCCCTAAAACACAACGCACTTTAAACTAACTTAAATTAGAATCATGTTCTATAAAATAAGACTTAAATCTAGTGATAGAGACCATAAACTCATAAGGAAAGTGTTTGCTGGGGTCATAAGTCACGTATAAAGTAAGATCATGCGCTCATAGAGCTCTGCACAATTAGACTTGTTGCCCCCTGCTGGCCATTGCAAAGAATGCAGCTTTGTTTTCCACTTTTTAGACCCAGAGGCTTTGCCCAGCTTCTTTGTTAATGGTTTACCATGTAAAAAAAATTGGTGAAATTTTTTTTAATTATTGCATCTTCTAGTATCCAAAGGATATCAGTGAAAGCTAGACAGGCTTTGTGGGTGAACTCTGGGTGGCCTCCAAGCTTCTTGAGTAGTGGCTGTCTTATTGGCTCTCTGGAGTGGACCCACAACCTTTCGGGTGCAGCATTCCTAGCGATCACCTGACGGTTCACATCCTTAATGGGCTGCCTGGAAAGAGGACAAAGAGTGGTGCTGTCAGTACTGTTTCACTGATCTGCTGGTGAAAAAAGCCAGCAGAAGAATGGACGAAATTTTCACATACCTGAAATACTCGACAGAGAAATCTTTCAGTGAGTAAGGAGCAATTCTCCCCACTGTGCCTGTTTCTTTCATGGTGGCCTGTATGATGTCCTTCCTCTGGTTTGGTGAGAGGTTGATGAGGTTCTGAAAAAGAAGGAAACACCCACCGCATTCAGTCTTCATGCTAGCAAAAAGGTCTATAACTGAAAAAAATGGAGGCAGGTGCTGAACTGACAGCAAGACAGTAATGTAAGTGAAAACAATAAAAAGTTAGATAGATAGATAGATAGATAGATAGATAGATCGATAGATCGATAGATAGATAGATAGATAGATAGATAGATAGATAGATAGATAGATAGATATGTCTTCATGTGTGTTGTGATATCATAAAAATGTTTCATATCACTAATTTCTCAGGCTTTTTTTTTTCTTTTCCAAAATTTGGTCAATTGTACGTTGATTCACGTTTATTCTGATTTGATTGGCTGCTCCGTACCATGACCTCGTTGGTGGGTTTGCTGAGCGTTGGCAGGATTGTGATGGCATCGATGGGGACGGCCCCGGTTTGTTTCGTGCGATCGTTTTGGCCCTTAACCCAGCCGTGGTCCTGAGAGAAATCATTGTCTTTAATGAGCATGATGAGCTCTCCTTTCTTGAAGCTGAGGAACGTGGCGTCTTCTGGAGAGGATTGAAAAACAACTGAGAAGTCAGTCAGTTAATAATCAGGAGAAATGACTTCAAAGGAAGAGGAAGTGGGGCACTGACCTTGCTTCTCGACTTCTTTCAGGGCCACGGCGTACTGCGAACGCTCCGTCAGCCCACTGACAAACATGGTAATCAGCTCGGCCATGTCCGCCGCTGAGGGGCCGCTCAGGGTGAAGTCTCCTTTCAGCGTCATCAGAGACACGGCCTGGCCAGATTTTTTAACATTCCTGAGAACCACCACCGAGCCAAAAACACAATTAAAGCATTCCTCTTTTAGCAAATTCAACAAGTTATTAAAAAAAACAAATTGTTTATGGAACAATTTTCAGAAAATATCCAATATTTCCTTCACGATTACAGTTGCAAAAACACAAAATTTTCTTGCCTTATAATAAATATTCAAGACTGTGATTTAAAGCTAAAAAGACTTTAAAATAGGTCAAATGTTTTTATTAACCCCTTAGCAGTCCAATTAGTCCCCTAAACCATCCAATGTACCGTGGGCGGTACGTCCGACTGCTAACAGGTTAAAGATTTGTCCTTTAAGGAGGACAGAAGAACAAAAACAAATCTTGTTTATCTTTTATCTTGTTCATAGTTTTTGGGAGCCAGAATTTCACAGATAGCGCATCCGTGTTAACAAGAGTATACCTTCAGGTAATCTTGTTTCCCTCTTGGATTCTCCTGAACAAAGCCTAAACAGGTTTACCTAACAGCGTTGACAGCCATTACTTCTGGGAAGGAGAGTTCTGCCAGCCTCTTCTCTCGCTCATCCAGGAATGTGATTCCTGTCCAGTTTATGGCCACGATAAACTTGCTCTTCGGCAGTGGAGGGCCTGGGAACATCATGGAGAAACTGATCATTTCCTGTTCCTGAGAGTTTAATCTAAGCTGTTTAAGATATTAAAATAATGCAGAAAATATGAAATATATCAGTGAAAAGCAGCAGTAGTGGCCGAGTTTAACGACAATAAGAGAACTGCAACAATGAGTCAGTTTGGTGCCATTTTAAAGCAGAAAAGCTGATTGTTGCTTGCTCACAAATTTGACAATTTGCTGCTGACAATCTGAACACTCGTAAGTGTTGAGCCTCAAACAGAGCATAAAAAAATTAAAATAAACAAGAATTAAATGATAACTACCCCCCCAGCCTCAAGCAACGATTCTTTTTTATGGTTTGATTTTAACTTAAAGGTTTACACTTTTATGTACAAGGAACAAAGACGCCTACCTGAAAGTTTGGCAACCTCAAAGAACCTGGAGAAGAAGATGGGCCACTTCTGTCGAGCGTAATCGACTATCTCCGCCTTCAGCGAATCCGTCTTTTGTTTGGAACTCACATACGAGCCCTGTGACCGGATTACAAAGACAAAAGAAATGATTCTACCCACAACATTTTTTTAACCCTCTATGTGTTACAGCATGTGATCCAGGATGCGACTGACCTGAGCATAGGCAGTGCTGACCATCTGCACCCAGTTACTCTCTGTCTTGGTCTCCAGCAGAGAGTTACTGATGCAGTCCTGCACAACATCCTTCACGTTTTCTGGGCGGCTGTCCGATCCGTGTTGGATGTACAAATGTTTTGCAGCGAGGTCGACATAGTCGTCCTCCTGGGGAAGTGAAATGTGGGAAAAACTCACGTTAGAGGTGTACGGCAGGAATGCTTAGTTGAATCCTTGGTTACAATACAAGCAATAGGAGCGCACCTTTTGACACTGGTACTCTCCAGACTTCAAGCCATGGATGATCTGCTTGTAGATGAGGTCTGTGCTGAGCTTGTCGTCACTGCAGTTATGCCAGGGGGTGAAGATCTCTTTACGGAAGATGAGACGCCAGGGGGCGTGCTGCTCCTGGCCTCCCCTCCTCTTTGTGTCCTGCTCACACCGGGAGATGGCGTCCATCACGTGCTCCCGGCCGCTGCCCAGAGCCCACACCTTCAAAACAGCTTACCGTGTTAATATCTATCCATTTATTGACATACTTGTATTCATATTCAACTCGTACAATTATCAGGGAGGCATGTAACCAGTATGACCATCACTTGAAAATAACTACACTGCAAGCATCCCATCATGATTTTTTGTTTTTACTGTGTATTCTGGGTCACCTCTGTGCTTCTTTCCCTTAGAGCCTCTTTTTTTTTTTGCACGTGCTTGTATTTTTTGTGACTTCCTGCTCGCACTAGTGTTTGCACAATATGGAAATAATCAGAGCTTGGTTGAATTCTCCAAATCTAAAGAAAGATGCTTCTTTTATTACCTCCTTTACCAGAGCATGCTCTAGAGCATTGTTTATGAAAGGAAGGTAGATAAGACTGGTCCCCAATTCAGAGCATTTACAAACAGGAATAATATAAATCAATAAAAAGCTGTTTAAGTCACACCGTAAGTCGGGTTTGACTGAGTGGAAAACTAGGAAGGTTTCAGATATTCCTTTCATGTAAAAAAAACCAAAAAAACAAATTTTAACTGGCTTTATTTACATTTTTTCTGTTTTTCTTTTGCTTCTTCTCGTTCCTTTCTGCCACGGAAATCAAAGGCTTAGGTCTGAGCGTTCGGCTCTGTCAACAAGTTATTTCTGGTAATGAGTGTTTTTGCACTGCAAAGTGAAAAAAATCCTCACTCACTAACGCTTTTGGGCCCTGCATCTTCACAGCTCATAGGGTTTATATTTATGAGCTGTTTATAACAAATTGAGATGAGCGGCTGATAGATGTCTATTCTGGACGCTCTGATTGCCACAGGATGCTTTCCGCATATCAGCTTCCCATTTCAGATGAAAGAATTTGGATCCGTCTGTAAACACGTACCTTTGCATACAAGGCGACGTAGATGGAAAAGCCGAAGCTGTCTTTGAGGTTGATTTTGTTGGAGATAAGCTGGCAGATCTCTTTAGACGTAGATGCTGAGTCGACGGGGAGGTTAATGGAGCGGTTGTCCATAAGCATCACAGTCACAACTATGGGCTTTTTTGTCTTGGTGGCCTGTCACAGTGCAGGAAATAAACATGTTAGTTAAGTGGAAATCACAGTTTGTGCATATTTTCTGCACCTTAAGTTAGTAGCTTACTCAACTTACACAAAAACATTTTTCGACTGTAAAGGAATATATCTAGAAACATGTGCGGTTTAATTTTTCAATGAGATTTCAGATGCCGCATAATTCCAACTGAGACCAAACCAACACTGTAAATGTGGACTGTGACGTCTCCTGGCAGCATTTTTTGAAATTCTTTTAAAAAGATGTGAGCATGTTACAGGATGTTTGTATAGCTAGTGTCAGCTGCTAATGTAGCATCTCATCAAATTTCAGCACAGAATTTCTTTTCTTTTATAACGATAATGACAGAGTCAGAGAAGTCTGCAGTCATATGCAGTTCTCTGAAAAAGCGCAGCCCTCTAACGTGATGTTTTCTGTGTGTCTTCCACGTGGTTGTGGAGTAATTTTAGCCCTTTAGCTGTTAGACAGATGGCCTCACATTTGACTTTAGAGTACTTTGGCCTAAAGAGGAGACAAAACGCTACGTCCAGATGAACAGAATCAACCTTTGGAGAGGTGCTGTGTATTATTTTTCTGGGAAGGCACGCATCAGGCTAAGGTGTAGATTTAATGCATAAAGTATTGTTGTCATTTAGAGTTACTGAGCATAGATTGAAGGAATTTTGAAAATGCTGCATTTTTCATATGAAGCTGTATAAATCTCAGCACCTGCAGCTCCAGATAGGAGGGAGGCTCCTCTCGTGTGCCGTTCATCACGGTGCGCCGCAGCCTGTCAGCGCAGTAGGACGAGTAGCCGCTCGGAGCCAAGCGGATGAAACTTTGGAGGTACTGCGAAGACAAGAGTAAAAGGTAAAACATCACAGCATTGAAATGCACACAGCTGTTACGGCTGCTGTACTCACCTTTATAAATCGCTCACTGGGAGGAAAAACGCCCAAACAAAGCGACAGCAGGATCCAGCCACGGAAGAAGCCCGTACGATTGTTGTTGTCATGAAGCTGTTTGCAGATCTGACAGTAAATCTCATCTCTGTGGCAGAAAACTGTGTATTAGCAGAAGCTCGGAAAGAGATATCAACAGCGGAGCTATGCGATTTCAAACTTCTGTAACCTGAGGTCAGGCCTGACGATGGCGTATCCAACGATGTAGTGGAGCTTTTCCAGAGAAGTCAGGGGTCTGTCCAGTGTGTCCGACTCTCCAGTCAAGACTTCGGGATCCTCCTTCACAGTCTGCAGAGTGGCAGGCTTGGAAACTTCCGTCTGATCATCTGACTGTTGGAGAAAAATGTAAATGTCCGTTAGCTTGGTTAAAAAGTGAACGGCAACAAAATATTCTGGCTTCTGCCTCACCTCCTCCATGATGATCGAGGTTTTTCTGAAGTTTAAACCAGATTTGGGGATTCCATTTTCTTGAACATTTGATACTTTTCTGTTTTTGGACAGTAGGTCAGTGAATGTGGAGCCCTTTCGTCCTCGAGCGCTTGCATCCGGTACAGTGTACACCTTCTGGTTTTGAGGGGTCTGGTTGGGCACAGCAGAAGCCTTCCTGGTTCTTGTCAGGATGTCTATAAAGATGGAGCCCCTTTTGTTTTGTCCTGGTGGCTCAGGGACTGTAGAAGCTTCTGTTTCTTTTCTATTTCTCAGCACCCTCTAAAAAAATGAAAAAGTAAATGGTCAAACATCTCTGGAAACTGGCCCATGATTATCAAAATGAACACTGATTAAATTTGTCAAGTCTCTCCTGTAGGATCATCCTCTAGTGCCATTTTGGACTGCGTCTTGTGCAACAGTGTCTTAGTCCAGTTGGTTTGATGGTCTTACCTTGCAGTGATCAGAGAGGCCGGCTGCAGCTATAAGGTATCAGTAACAGTTTTTATGTGAAAGTTTATGTAAAGAGAAAGTTACAAGAATTGAGATGGGAGAAAATTTAAGTGCTGTCTAGTCATTCTGCACTATTATGTGTCAACGAAAGTTTTACTTTTTTGTTTTTTTAATAAAAGAAAAAAGACTGAATGAGCTTTTAGATGTAAGACTCTTTGAGAATTCAGTTCTCAGTCAAAATAACAGCAAGACTCTTAGCAGATAATTTGATGTTGCTGGGAATGACTGACCCCAGACTGAAAACAAGAACCTCTGTTTTGCCAGGATTAAGATGGAGCAAACTTAAAGACATTCAGTTTTTTGAGGTTTTGATTCCTACCTGATCCAGGCCCACCATGTTGCTGAGACGTCTGTCCTTTCTGGACATCAGCTCCTGTGGCACAAAGCGATCCTGTGAGGAGGGTACCCTAACCTGGGCCCGTTTCTTTGGCTCAGGGAGGTCTCCCATAAACCTCAGGATGATCCACCACACTGTGAGCGAAGCCTGGTGAAAGCACAAAAGAGACATGATTAAACTTTATTAAAAACAGACAGAAACACGTGGAATTATGATGTGTGGTGAACTAAGAGAAGCACCAGAACATCATCTTCATCCTCATGGTAGAGCAGGGGCTGATGAAGCCTCTGTCGGATATGGGTGTGGGTGGCTGCACCCTGGAAGTACATGGAGGCAAACTTGGCGAAGGAGTACTCATCCAGGTCATCATAGTCCTCGTTGGGAAGATCCTCCTCCATCTGGATTTCGTCAATGTCTATCTCTTCAATTATCCGTTTCCCACCAAAATTCTGCAAACACATACAAGCACGTGTGACTCATCGGCTTATATCTAAAAATCATTCAACACCTGCCAAAACATCTGGTTCCAAACCTCATATCCCATGGGTGCCTGCCCCTCCTGGCCTCCTACAGTGTTGGGCATTAAAGTAAGGAAGTCAAACATGTCATCCACCATCTCCTGGTCTGACTGCCGCTTGGCCTCCATCTCTCTCTTCTGTCTCAACACCTCCTCCAAGCGCCTCTGTTTCTCCAGAATGAGCCGCTGTTCCTCTTCTTTCTCTTTAGCAGAGAGGTACATCTGAAAGAGCAAAAACAGTGCTCTAAGCAGGGGGCAACTAACCTTGTTGCAAAAATAAGTCAGACTACATAGAAGCCTATCAGGAAATGAATCAACTGCTCATCCGTAAACACTGAGGTCACAGATCAACTAAAGTTTTGGTCTCAGTCATCAGTTTAAATTGTTCCCTACTACAGCTTGATGTGCATTGTGTAAATTCTGCCCTCACACTGAGTAAACAGATGATAAAGCAGGGTATGTGGCCACTCCTCGCTGGTGACAACAACAGACAAATTACCAAACTTCACAAAGCCATAAAGATAAATGCTTTTATGGATGGAGTAAACTAAAGCAAGGAATAAATACTTGAAATGATGCTCTAACATTATAAAATAAATGTGACATAAAAACTAAACTAACTGATAGATAGCAGCACAGTGGAAATAAGATGAAACATCGGTGGTGGTACTTACGTCTCTCTTCATCTTTTCGAGAGCTTTTTTCGCCAGTATGCCCCTGGTGTGTGCCTGTAGCAGGATTACAGCCTTCCTCTTGCGCTTCCATTCCTTCCTGGCCAGGTGTCCTCGAACATGGGTCTGTAGCACGAGGGTCGCCTGCCTTCTCTTTTTATATTGGAAGTGGAGCTGGCGAGAGCGAACCTGTGCCTGCAGCCTTGCAAAGCCCAGCTGCACCTGGAATCGAAAGATGAGCGAAGGTTTAAAGCAAGCGACGCCTCCATTTTCACTCGAGTCAATGCTGATTTTTGAAAACGCGACTTACCACTTTGTACAGCTTCCTGCCTTTGTGTCCTCGCCAGTATTTCTGAATCACGATCGCGGCTGACCTTTTCCTCAGGAATTCTTTCCTTTAGATGGCATGAATCATGCAAATTTGAAGCAGTAATTCACATGTAAGAATACTAAATAAATAAATAAAGCGTAATGCAGATCTAATCCTCCTACCTGTATCTGTAGCCTCTCAGGACTTTCTGGATCAAAAGGGCTTTCACATTTAGTTGTTTTATTCGCTCTACTTCAAGCATTGTGTCATGATGGTCCTGAAAGAAAACAGCAGAAATTACCATTTTATTTCCTTTTCATTTCCTTTGCTGGTTCTTGACTGCTGACGTTCAGACAGTAGTGAGATTCTTTTATGTATTTATGTATTTCTATGTTGGCAAAGCAGAGTGCTCCAATAGATTCTGGTTCTCCTCATCTGTATTGAATTTCTGCGGCACAGTTGATAAGAACAGGCCCTTCTCTGTAAAGGCCGCTTCCTATCAGCAGTGCATGTTTTCAGATTGCCGTACGTTTAAGAAAAATGTGTAGGCAACTGTGTATGTAGGGATAAATACAGACCAACAGGAGTGACGCAGAGGTGCACTATGAGACAACCTTGAAGGGCATGTTAGGTTTTTGGAAGTCTATGACTGCTTAGTGCACACATATTTCAGTATTTCAAACCATATACATTCAGCTAAGATTGTTCTTATAAGCTTCCAAACCTTTAGGAATATCTTTGTCTTTCCAGTCTTCCAGTCACCTTCTCCAGTAAGCAGGTTTTCACAAATACTTTCACAGCATTTCTCTTCGCTTTCCTGTTAAACCAGCATTTTTAAAAAAAAGAAAAAAAAAGACAACAACGTAAATAACATTATATGGAAGACTTTCATTTGGATTTATGCTTACATATGAGTTGGTCATAGAAAGAATTTTGCTGATCAAAACACAGATTTTGTCAAAAACAACTCACGGTATTTGGATCACAGATGGAAGTCCTCAGGAGGACACGATATCGAGTTAGAAACTCATCAAATGTGTAGCGTACAGGATACCCAGCTTTCCGGATCCTGATGGTCTCCATCATACCGGAGTAACGGAGCTGCCGCATGCACAGCTCTCTGTCAAACAGCTGAGACAAAGAGGTACTAAATGAGATTTGAAGCAATTTCTTCTTCTTTTTTTTAGTTTTCAAGCATGTTTTATTCTGTTTGAGAGGACCAAGACTGTCTCCTCACCATGGGCTTCTTGAAGTCATTGGGTTTGATGCAGCGGATGAAATACGGCTGGCATGCAGTCAACGTTTTCATCAGGGAATCCAGGGACTGGCGGAACTGACCGCTCAGTGTTGGCACACGCTTCTTGCCATCTGGTACTTGTTGCTAATACAAATAAAGTGCAAATATGTGTAAATAATTCTATACAGTGATGGTGATGTGAATGGTCAAATGATAAAAGGCTGCACTAACCCCGGTGTTTCCCTTGGCTGATGTTATGGTCATTTTGGCGTTGGCAATCTTGATGCTACCGGAGGTGGATTTGAGGTCATTACGAAACACCTGTTTCAGGAGCTTGTTGGTGGACTTTTCCAACATCTTAATGAGGTCTGAGCTCAGGGTGTCACGGTTTTTTTCAAGAAAACCTTAAACAAAAACAAAACATTGAGAACATCAGAGGAAAATTACCAAAAGACCAACAGGTTGGCTTTAAATGACTTAAGTGTACCTTGTGAGTCATAGAAGACCTTTCCAGCAAAATGCTCGATTCCAAACTGTGTTTCGTAGTTGTTCTTTGGGGGAAGATAGACGCCACCTTTCTCGTGATACTGGTTCATCTTTTGGAGCAGGGTGGCATCTGTGGCCTGAAAATTAAATTACACTTTTAAAACCCTTCCTTGCTTTGGTCCGTTAGAGAATTTAAAGTACGACGAGGACAAAGACCTTGGGGAAATTGCTTTCCTCGTCAATAAGCGACAGCAAGTTCATGGATTTGCTGGCCAGTACGTCCAGGGTTCGCTGGTTATCTTGGTAGTCAATGTGCTTCCAAACAATGTTTTCACGGGCGTACTCTTCCTGCTCAAGCTTGAAGACGTGCTTGACGAAGAACTGCTGCAGCTGCTCATTGGCAAAGTTGATGCACAGCTGCTCAAAGCTGCAGAAAAAGAAGAAACAAAGACAGAGGCTTAGTAAGAGTACCCACGCAGGCCTGGCCTGAGAACGGAGGACACCAACCTGTTTTTACTAAAGTTCTCAAAACCAAAGATGTCCAGAAGGCCGATGGATTGTTTGGCCTCGTTCTCCTCATCAGGCGGCTTGTAAATGGCACTGTTGATTTTCTCCACAATCCAAATGAAAAGTCTTCCGTATATACCCTGGAACAAATACACGGACACCAGCAATAAAGCTTTTTTTTAACGTGGAAACTGATCTGTGACCAGTTGCTACTGATGATGACTAAATTAACCTATCAGTATGCTGATGGCTAATCTGTAATAAGTGTACCTGTCTGAATTTACTCTTCTTTTAACTGACAAATTCTGCATTTTGTAGCTTAAAATAGTTGTGGTTTGCATAAAATTACACTTTAGAGAAACTCCAAAATCTAATTGAGGTGGAGGGGTTTGTGTGTCCCAGGGATCCCAATGGCAAATTGTTGCAATGTGTGCTGGGTGGTGGCCAAGGGCAGAGACCCTGGCCGATCAATCTTTGGCTACAGAGACTAGTGACTGGGATGTGGAACGTCACCTCTCTGGTGGGAAAGGAGCCTGAGCTAGTGCGTGAAGTTGAGAGGTACCAACTAGATATGGTCAGTCTCCTGGACAGGGGCTGGACTCTGTCTCAGAATGGAATTTCTGTGGTGAGAGGTGGCGGGCTGGGGTGGGTATTTTAGTATCCCCTCGGCTTGCTGCCTGTGCTTTAGAGTTTTCCTGGTGGACAAGAGGGTTTGTTCCCGGCACCTTTAGCCCATCGTCTGGGCTTATTCGGGAATGAGAATCTCCGAGTCTGAAGCCATGGTCCTCACCTTGGAAAAGAGTAGAGTACCAACTCTGGGTCAGGGACGAGTTAGTGTCCCAATTGGAGGAGTTTAAGTATCTTAAGCTCTTGTTCACGAGTGATGGGAAAGAGGAGTGGGAAATCGCTGGACTGATTGGTGCTGCAGCTGCAGTGATGCTGCCACTGTACTGGTCTGTCTTGGTGAAGAAAGAGCTGAGTGTAAAAGTGAAGCTCTCGATTTACCGGTCGATCTACGTCCCTACCCTCACCTATGGTCACAAGCTTTAGTTAGTGACTGAAAGAATGAGATCACAGATTAAAAAGTGGTTGCTCCTCCACATCAAAATGAGCCGATTGAGGTGGTTCAGGCATCTCACAAGGATGCCTCGTAGGCACCTCCTAGGTGAGGTGTTTCAGGCATGTCCCATCGGGAGGAGGCCCCAGGTCAGATCCCGGACATGCTGGAGAGATTATGTCTCTCAGTGGATAGGGAGAGCGAGGTCTGGGATTCTCAGCTTAAGGTGCCCCCGCGACCTGGCCCAGATAAGCAGAAGAAAATGGACTGGTGGATAGATAAAATTACAATCTACACAGGAAAGTAGTATCTGATTACCTACTTTAAACCATCTAGGCCTATCTTCCTGACTGCTAAAATGAGCTGCAGCGTCACACATTCATTTTACTTTGACAAATGCGTCCCTGCCGTCCATGGCTTGAGCAGAGGTCAGACATTTGGTCACGTGTTCCCTGGCAGTCTGGAAGGAGCGCTGAGTCAAACCTTTCCCCAGTGCTTTGGGATCCACCTGAGGCAACAAGGTAGCACAATCAGACAAGATGATCTCTTAACTCTAGCTGTATCTTCAGAGAAAACGGCACATGCCTCCAAGAGCTCGCTCGCCATTTTGAAATTGGTCGACGTGTGGACGTTGCAGGCTTCCAGATTATCTACGATGGTGGCTGGAATTCCACAGGAAATCAATGTCAGTTACTTGAATGATTGCACCTGTTTCAAAATAATCTTCAATTTTAATCACTGCTTTACCCTCAAAGTCCACATTGCCCAGGTGAAGAATGGCTGCGAGCAGTTTGGAAATTTCCCACAAGTCATTTTCTGTGAATGTGAGAATCTTCAGAGCTGACTGGAAGTGAGCGTACTCCTTCACGTCGTCACGGCCCTCACAGCTGGTGCAGTTACCCTGGTGTGGTCACATGAGTTAAAACTGAATAAGCAGTGAGTTATCAGATCAAACATCCAGGCACCAGTAATTGTTTCTGTTCAGTTTTGCTATTGAAACTATGACAAATCCCATGAAACTGATATACTGATATTATGGTTACAGAAACCATGACTATAAAGATTTTTAATTTGGTAAAATTAAAAATTAATTTGGTTGATTTTTCCCACCTGCTCCATGTATTTTCAGAAAACATCAATAAATCCAATCTTTAATCTAAACATCACAGTACCATGGTCAGATACTTGTACTCAGCGGCGTTTCCAAGGGAAAGAATCTTCTTCTTTTCTGCCGACATGCCCATCAGCATGTAGTAAAAGATGTGGTAGTTTCTTTCGTCTGGTGCCTGCACATTGATGCATGTGTTCTTTACTACAGGAAAGTTTGGCTTTAACACAATGCTGTTTCCGAAAAGTTCAGCAGACTGAAATTCCCACCTGACGACACACCCTGGACTTCTCCAGCAGGTACTGCTCAATGCGGGCACCTTCAATAGCCCCGCCCTTGGTGAAGCTGATGTCGATGTACTTCCCAAATCGACTGGAGTTGTCATTTCGAATGGTTTTGGCGTTACCGAAGGCTGAGAAGATAAGCTACAGTTAATAAAAGGCAAGTCAAATGACAAAAAGGTGCTGGATAAGACAGCGTACCCTCTAAGATGGGATTTGCTTCTAGGACCTGCTGCTCAATCCAGGAGCGCTGACCGCTCACTGCAGCCAGAAACTGCAGCATCAGCTTGGTGCTCTCGGTTTTCCCAGCTCCCGACTCTCCGCTGATAAAACACACGAGGGGGATGTAGATGTGATGGATTTCCTGAATATTTTCATAAAAATCTCAAAAGGATTTGGCTCAAAATTAAACTTCAATACATTGATAAAGCAGTTCTGCTTGGATCAGTTCAGATCTTCTCTATTACTCAAGCAGCAAACTTTTTCATTTAGTCACCCAGACTGAATAACAAAGATTTCTGAACTGAAACTTTAGAGAAACTCCAAAACCGAATGCTAGTTTTGGTTATTTCCATTATAATAATAGAAACTGGGCCCTTTTTTGCTGTTTTAGTCTTATGTATATGATGTATTAACGCACCAGTGTCTTTTTTCTTTACATATAGTGCTTCATTTTTTTGAATTCCTAAAGCTTCCAGCATCGGGAAATATTTTCTTGTTAGATGAATTAGACAAGGATCATGAACAGTCGGCTGAGTATAAAGGTAACAAAAGGCACCCAGTATGTTCACTAATTAATATTCAATTAGGTGACAAATGTAAAGTCTGGAGAGACTGAGGACAAATTTTTAACTGGTTCTAGGTTGTATTTTCTATTAACTGTAACAAGGTAACTGCCTGAAAGAACGCAAATTATAGGTTATGTCCAAATATTAGTGAATATTTTTACCTTACCTTTAACCTTAGTGGTGATAATGGTGTTACCTTGTTAATACTTCACATTTATTACTTATTGGGCACTTAGGCGCTCCTGTAAAGGTAGCTCTCTCTTTTTCCCATAAACAAAAGCTCCAATTAATCATTTTACTCAGTCCAGCAATCATTTGTTATCTTTTAAAACAGACTTGATAGTAAAAAAAAGAAAGAAAAAAGAATGATGTGCAATAAGATGTAATAAATGCATATAATATTTGGAGTACTTAAAATTTCAGCACTAACATGATTTTTAAAGGATTTTATACCATCTCAAACAGATGCTCACTAAAGAAATTGTCAGAATTTAGCCCAGCTAGCTCACGCATGCACCACCTCCATAAAGATTGCAGTCTTAAATAATCTGAATATGTGACACAAATCTTTTCACCTTTAGCGCCTTTATCAAATACTTAGAGGTATTAATGTGAACAACACACAGATAAACAGAAATATGTGCTGGGGCAACATTTCATAACTCCAATAAATGGGCGAAATTTAAATGCTGAGATGTTTCAATGATCAAAGGAGGAAATGTGGTGGACCTACTGGTGACCATATCCATATATTTGGTCATCTTCTGAAATTAGAGGAATTTGGAGAGGGGGGGGGGAGGGTTTAAGGTACTTAAACAGGTATTCTACCAAACTTTCATAGAAGAATATCAGAGGGCATTGATGGAAAAACTAAAGAACAGAATTCAATTTAAACCATTCTCCTGACATATAAACACCCCATCATATCTTATAGACCCCAGAGTACCATATCACCCCAACAGAGAACGGTGCTCTCAGACTGCAGGCTTACTGAGACATTTAAAAGTGTAGTCTCTGTTTTTTCCCTGTTTCCCTATAATTTTATATTCCTTGTTCCTATTAAGAAATTTCTACAGTGTATTTGGGATGATTTCACTTAAGCCAAATAGTCTTAAATAACATCCATCAAAACGTAATATAATTTAAATCTAGATGTACACGTAGTATAAACCAGTTTTATATGTTTAAACAATCTTTTTATGTGAAGTGTATGTATCTATGTATGATCACAATCTAATAATAAAATTCCAATCAAATGCTTTGATAAAGAATAAACATATTAAAGTGAATACTCTGATTTAAAGTCATCCACTTTACCTTCTCATGCTTTTTTCCTTTGCTGCTGCTGTATCATTTTTTCCTAGTCTCTACATTTATTCATTATAATTCATATAGATGCAGCTTAAAATTGAAAAACCAAGAGTCTGAACTGCATCTGTGACTATATGAGTGGTAAAACTGACATAAAAACCCAACCTGATGACACAGCACTGGTTCTTTCGGTTGCGGCGCATGTTGAAAAAGCAGCTGTCTGCGATGGAGAAGACATGAGGCGGCATTTCACCCAGCCGCCGGTCTGTGTACATGTGCACATGCTCAATAGTGTAGATGGGCAGCAGCTGGTAAGGGTTCACTGCGACCAGAATGGAGCCCGTGTATGTCTTTAAAACAGAGAGCAGCAAGTAAACACGTCGTTATCATGGTGGAAACTCAGCATGTGATACATAACTCTCACAGATTAGTCACAGTAAAAAAAAGCAGAGATAAATGCTGAATGATTGCTCGATAAAATAACTGAGAAGTATAAGATAGAAGATATTACACTCAGTATAATTTGCCCCCAGCCTTTCACAGCAGTGTTTTTACACCACAAAAAAGGTCCAATTCATAATTAAACACACGCTCCGTTGAGTTTTGGCGTTGGGACTCATAAACACTGGGTTACTCTCTTTAAACAGAGGCTCATTGGTCTCTATGGAGACAAACAACACAGTGATAAACTGCAGGGCAAAGTCTGAGCCTGAAAGCTGTTCGCATCAAGTAAGCATTTCCATGGATGGTTATGGATGTCATAAAACTAGGCGGCTCTGCAGTGAATCCAGGGAACATAAACTTACATAGATGATTCCTTCCTTGTGTCGTACCAGGAGGTTCCTGAGCAGTCCGGCCTCGTTCAGGTCACCCAGCCTGATCATATCGTCTACGCCGTTCACAGAGGTCGGATGCATGGGCCGGATGCTTTTCTCATTTAACTTCTTGAGCTTGTGTTCCTGTGTGTTTGTTATTAAAGATCTCAAATTACACAGAAGGCAAATACAGCTCTTTTAAAGGCAGATTTCACATTATTGTAAAGAATCTGGCAGGAGCGCAGAGTATCGGTCGGGTTTTTGTACCTTTCCTTCGTCATCGAGCAGCTGAATCTGCCCGGTGTCTGTGACCTTAACCTCCGCCCCAATCGGCACCCCGGTGCCCGTGTCCACCCATACAAAATCTCCCTGTTTGGGTGAATTGGGAGTTATCATGAATAAAAAGGCCTTGTAATGATTTAGGATCATGAATCTTAATTATAGAAACAGAGAACTCATTCCTACCTTGCTCAGGTGCAGCATCGCTGAAATGTGAATTAAATCTGCAACGAAAACATTTTCTTCTCTACTTCTTATGAAGGAAAAGTTACAGCAATCGAACTTAAAACACAATCAATACAGATTTCCTTAGCCATGCTATAAAAATCAGTTTCCACGGTTTTGCACTTGCTCAAGGGTGTTTCAGCCACCCTCCTATTCCACCCCAAAATATTATTTGTAACCAGTTTTCCAAACATGACAAGCATTATTGTTGATTTAATAATCAGAAGTAACAGGAAAATACATCAGTATCCTTAAAACAAGCTAAAAGGCTCAACAGCCTTTACTGGACTTGGACTAATCATTCTTATCTGTGGCAGTTAACCCCTAAAGACCAACTCTCAGTCAGGATAAACCCTGACTGAGAGTTGGTTTCATATCACTGCCGGAGATTTATACAACAGCCACATATTTTAGATATGTTAAAAAGCAGTCTTCTGCTACATTTACACAAACTTTAAAGGCAACTAAAATAAAGCATGGGTTTCACTTTGAAGACACGTTTGTTCAAAAGTATACACTGAATTTTATAACCTTGCTACTAAAGACCAAAAAAAATACACAAAAAACATATAAATATTTAAAAAATCCATCTTTTCTAGCTACATTTTTAGAGAAATCAGCGCTTACCTGAGAACAGGTATGTGTTGCGTGGAAGCCCCTGCTACTGATGAGGGACTAGTTCCTTGAGTGGCTCTAAACCAGGAAGTTTTCCTGGCAAAGCCCCACTTTATGGTACTTTGACTTTGCTCCTGCAAACACAGAACCAAGAGAGTAACTATTATAATGCCACATCCTAAACATTTACTTAATACGAGCGCAAACCCCCCTAAATTTATTTGTTTTTAAACACCTACTGCTGCTATTTATAAAGTGTTATTTTCACATAGTAAAAGTCAGGTTTCATGGTGGTTGATAAGGTACACAGTAGCACACAAATAGTCATCATATTTTCATTTTTTTGGTCTTTCTGAACTTAAATGGTTCAAAAAACAAGTTAGAGTCTGAGTCAAAAGTGGAATGATGATTATATAAATGCCAGTGACAATAACTTTTCCTGATTGATAAACACGCTGTTGTCATGGGTCAAATACGTGCCAACACGTTGTGATGTATCACAGGCAATTATGTTGTAAAACAGCATGCAGTAAAAGGGAATGACTGGGCTCAGCCTGAAGATAAAAGAAGGCGAATAAAAACAGACAGGTCAGATTATTCCAGAACCAAAAACCAAAATAAAGGAAGAAATTCAGCTGCATCAACATGTGGCCAAATTAAGCGACACGTGGGACTGAATCAGATTTTTCATGTAGTACTTGGTGACGGTGGGAAGAAAAACCCCCTGTTAACAGAAAGAAACCTCTGGCAGAAGCAGGCTCAGGGAGGCGCGGCCATCGGCTGTAATAGGCTGGGGGTGAGGTGAGGAAGGAGGTTAATAATAACTAATTACCACCTGATCCAGCCCCAACTATAAGCTTTATAAAAAAATATATATATATTTTTATGCCTAATGTTAAAAGTAAAGAGGGTGTCTGTCTCCCAAATCCAAACTGATAATCTGAAGGTTTATCAGGAAGTCTTTTAGGACAACCTGATAATATTGAATTACAGCATCCAGCCTACAAATAATAAATGGATGAACTAGTTTTTCAATAATATTCTGATGCAGGATGTTTCTAATTTTAGAGATTTGCAAAAATGCAAGAACATAGTCATACATATTTCTATAATGCTGCACTGAATGCAGAACATATGCTAATTAATTAATTGCATATGAATTAGTACAAGAAGTATCAGTTCCTGGTTTGTAGTACAGTTTGAAGCGCAACGTTCAAACACTGGAGTACAGGCAGGGAGGGTGAGTTTCAGTTACAAACTGAAACTACATCTGTTTTACACCCACTGCAAGTCTCACTGTGTAAAGAGATCAAAATGTTCTACCTGCTTAAAACCAGGTAGAACATTTTGCTACCAGGCTCATCCTCAACCTGTGACTCCATCTGAGTCAGAATAATTTCCTAATCCACTCATATTTATATAAAGCTGTGAAATGTTTTTATATACGGACACAATTAGCAGGATGAAAACTCAAAAATAAGAGCAGAACTTGTATTGTTTTCAGTATCTTTACTATAATTACACAGACAAAAACAATGTACAAGGTCTGGATGTTTCAGGCTCACTTCAGCTCGTACACTCTGCAGCACAAAGCGGCACGTCACACAGCACACAAAACGTTTCATCGAGTACAAAACTGGAAAAGAACGAGGTCGATGGAAAAACAGAAGCACATTTACAGTGATTTACATGAATTCAGTCCGCTGTTCAAACGAGCACAGCCGCTCTCTTTATTCCAGATTAAGTGAAGATTTGATGGCAGTTTGAAATATTTTCTCATATCCGGATTTTTAGATTACGCCTAAATTATGGCTGATAAAAGATCTTTTTTTGTTTTCTCTTTAAACAAATTAAGCTGCTGGATTTTTTTTTTTTTTTAAAAAGGAAGCAGTAGAAGTAACCTGAAACTTTTCTTTAAATGACATTTTAACAGCATCTGGAGAGCGTGTGGAGCAGCTCGGCCCGGTCCATCTCATGTACACTGACAAAATAAAGGCACAGACTGATGAAAAGAGCACGACTGAGATTAGTCCGTTTACAGTTTGCTAAAGGAGTCCTTTTGAATGATTCTGACCGGCTCCGTTGGATAACTCACCTTGCACCTCTTTTTAGAGCCGAATATCACAGATACACAATGTGCCAAAAGTCTTACAAGAGGCAGAAACTAAGTTAGTAACAAGGATCTTTCTGGGGTGGGGGGGTGGGGGGTTCATACATTAAAAGAAAGGGGAAGGGGGCAAAACAAAACACGGTGGCCATCAAGTGGCCACTCTAACAACCTACAATGTTCCTGTGTTTTGAACGAAAACCAGTTCCTGTTCCTCGAAGCCGTCCTGTTGCTCTTCTCTGTGCCCACAGATATGGAGGGTGCATGTGATTGTATGCAGCAAATCATAGCACCAAAACTCTGAGCAGCTCCTTCACCCCTACACGGAGAGAGAGGCGGTGGGAACGGCAGCGGTTTCTTGGCAGATGGGGAGGTCGCTCTTACGCCCGTTCTTTGCGCTTCAGTTTGGAGGACTTCTTGACTGTGCCGTTCTTGTTGAGCAGCTTCAGGACCTTCTCCTTGTGGTCGAGCACTTTCATCATGGTGTCTCTGGCCTCGGTCACCTGGTCCATCACCAGTTTACAGCGCTGCATGTTACCCTGAGGAGAAATGTACTGATTGAGTTTGCTAAACTCATTACTAACATTACATGTACCTGAAAGAGAGAAGCTGTGGGGCTTTTTCCAGCCTGCCTAACAAGAACAAAAAGGAACTACATGAACAAACTACAGAAGAAGAAAAAAAAAGCAGCAGTTTACAAAACTCAGAAGCCCAATCTGGGTTAAAGAGGATCTGCTATACTCATTTCCAGCCAATACTTCTATTCTTGGACTCCAGAGCAGCTTTGCATGATTACAGCTAAAAATAATCCTTATTTATCTTACACTGGGCCTGGTCCCGCCCCTCAGTTCATCCTCTGTCTCCTCCCCCTTAAAGCGAAGCTTAATTTGATTGGCTGGCCATTGAACAGCTGTGTTACACATAACCATATGACGGCTATCTGCTGTCACTAGGATCATAGAGAGCCAAGTCTGTGTTTATAATGAAGGTGTCAAACATAAGGCGCGGGGGCCAGAAATGGCCTGCCAAAAACTCCAGTTTGCCCCACTGTGTGATTTTAGAAAATGTCCAGGGTTTAAATTTTTGGACTTTGAAATCAATTTTACTTTAGTTTTAAACATGTTTTTGCTGCTGATGACACAGAGAGAAAAGCAGAGAGAACATTGGTTTGTTTTTAGTATAAAAACGGCAGAGCTTCACTTTTCAGATGCTTTACATTGTGGGTTCATAAGCTGTGCTGTTCGAAACTTTAAGGAGAAATTCAGACAAGTTGACAAAACCAAATCGCCTCTAAAAAGTGAACTGGATTCAGAGAGACACAATATTCTTCTATAACCAACTCAGCATCATCACTGGACCAGGGCAGGCGGACTCACCCAATAAGCAATAAAATTTGTATCCACATGGTTTATAACCAAATGAGTGTATTTTGGAGGGTGAAGCACTGAACTTTGCTTTGTCATTAACTTTGCTAATGACAGTGAGAGTCTGGCATTAAACAGATCACAGGTATGCTGTTTTTATTCGCACCGTTCTTCATGTTTTCATTCCTGTTTAGTCTTTTTTTTCTCCGCTGAGGTTTTAATTATCTATTTACTAAATATCTTAAAAGAAGTCCTGAAGTTCTTAACTCCGGCCCACCCCACATGTATAACTTAGGAAATACTGATTTTTTAAAATTTGCATAACCTGAGCAGTGAAACCTTTATTTTTAATGTGCAGCAACAACCTCACCTGTATTAGTTCGTTAATTCGGTGAAGGTCGTCATCTGCGCCGGCCCTCTTCTTTGGAATCAGACCCTCCTGAAGGGTGGAGAGGCGGCTGTACACGTCATGCTCCAAACTCGACTGCAGAACAAGCGATAAAAAAATAAAAATAAAAAAAAAATCTGCTTGTTAAAGAGCGTAAAAGTCTCTGAACTGAAATGCAAAAATCACACTGAAATATTGTAACAATTTTTTAATTGATTACATTTCTTTTTAAAAACAGAAGCTCACTTTAACCACTATTTTCCCCCAATTTAAAGACAAAACTATATTAACTGGGCCAATATAATAAAGGTCAGGAGGTCAGCACCCACCAGCTGCCTGAGCTGTGCCGCACACAGGTGAATCTTCCAGCCTTGTGCTCTGCATGCCACTCCTCTCTGATTGGCCATATCCTGCAAGGAGCCCTTCTTCTCTTCTGAAACATTAACAAAAAGCAGAATTAAACTGAGGAAAATGACAAAGAAGATTCAACACAAGCCTTTCAAACACTTCACTGATCGCTCCTCTCTGTTTTTTAATTTTAACCTCAATTACAGTTATAACATTTTATTTGATTTTGGCTTTTTTTTTTTTTTTTTTAAATGATAAAATCAAGATTATGATACAAACAAAAGGAATTTGTTTACTCTTATTGCATATATTTGGTATTATTGTAGGATCTGCCTTACAATATAAAGCGCCTTGAGGTGACTGTTGTTGTGATTTGGCGCAGTATAAATAAAACTGAATTGATTTTGTCTTGCATGATTCAGAAGCATAACAGTGCATTTTTGCTCAACCCCTCAAACTCTAAACTCACTCAATGTTTAGTTCAACTTGTGTCAAGATAAACAAATAGTTATGACTTACCTGCAATTTAAATCAGTGTCTTTTACGTGTAATGATTTATCTTTATTTATAACAGTGTTTTCACATCAATGAGCTTTTCAGGGTTTGCACGCATTTTTCAGGGTCAAATTCAAGCACTTTTTAAGCACTTTCAAGGTCAATTTTCAAGCTTTTCCAGCACATTACCAAAAAATAAATAAAATAAAATAAAAAATATGCACGTTTCCCTTAGCATCACCTCTGTAAGGCCATGTAAAAAACATTTGTTAAAACATAGAAAAATGCCCCACAGACAAATACTGAAAAATGAAACTATATGCATGTTGCACAAACTCAAAAAATATATACATTTCTCTTAAAAATTAAGATTTGCAAATGTGAACAAATCAACTT